AAATTTAAACAGCAGCTAATAACCTATGTTCTTTAAGTATTCCAAAAATTAGAAGAGGAGAGAATACTTCCAAACTCATTTTAGAGGCCAGCATCCCTCTAATATCAAAACCAGATGAGATATGACAAAAAAAAGAAAATTACAGACCAGTATTCCTAATGAACATAGATGCAAAAATACCCAAGAAAATATTAGCAAACCAAATTCAAAAATACATTGAAAGATTGTCCATCACGACCAAGTGAGATTTATTCCAGGGATACAAGGATGGTACAATATCCATGAATTATTCAATGTGATACACTACACATGATAGTCTCAATAAATTCTGAAAAAGCATTTAACAAAATTCAACATCCATCATGTTGTCATGATAAAACCTCTCAACAAAATGGGTATAGAGGGTATGTACCTCAACATAATAAGGCCTATATAAGACAAACCTACAGCCAACATCATACTTAATAGCAAAAAGCTGAAAGCTTTTCCTCTAAGATTAGAAACAAGTCAAGGATGCCCATTCTCACCACTTTTATTCAACATAGTACTGGAAGTGCTAGCCATAGCAATAAGACAAAACAAAGAGATAAAAGGCATCCAAATTGGTAAGGAGAAATTAAACTGTCACTATTTGTAGATGACATAATATTATACATAGAAATCTCTAAAGATGCCACCAAAAAACTATAAGAACTAATAACTAGATTCAGCAAAATCGCCAGGCACAAAATTAATACACAGAAACTTGTTGCATTCCTATATACTAATGATGAACTAGGAGAAAAAGAAATCAGGAAAACAATTCCATTTACAATTGTATCAAAAAGAATAAAATATCTAGGAATAAACCTAAACGAGGAGGTCAAAGACCTATGCCCTGAAAACTACAAGACACTCATGAGAGAAATTAAAGAAACACCAATAAAGGGAAGTCTATCCCATGCTCATGGATATAAAGAATTAATACTGTCCAAATGGCCATCTTGTCCAAAGCAATTTACAGATTCAATGGATCCCTATAAAAATATCAACAGCATTTTTCAATGAACTAGAACAGATAGTTCTAAAATTCACATGGTACCACAAAAGACCCCAAAGAGCCAAAGCAATCCTGAGAAAGAACAAAGCTGGGAGGATTACACTCCCTGACTTCAAGGTCTACTACAAAGCTACAGTGATCAAAACAGTTTGGTACTGGCACAAGAACAGACCCATAGATCAATGAAACAGAATAAAGAGCCCAGATACAAATCCATGCATATATTATCATCACTTAATACACAATAAAGGAGCCATGAATATACGAGGGGAAACGACAGTTTCTTTAATAATTGGTGTTTGGAAAACTGGACAGTTACATGTGAGAGTATGAAACTGGATTATTGTCTAACTCCATACCCGAAGGTAAACTCTAAATGGATCAAAGCCCTGAATGTAAGTCATGAAACCACAAAACTCTGAGAGGAAACATAGGCAAAAATCTCTTGAATATAAGCATAAGCAATTTTTTTCCTGGCGACATCTCCTTGGGCAAGAGAAACAAAATCAAAAATGAAGAAGTGGGACTACATCAAACTAAAAAGCAAAGATTACCATCAGCAAAACAAAAAGGCATCGTACTGTATGGGAGAATATATTCATAAATGACTCTTCTGATAAGGATTTAACATCCAAATTATATAAAGAACTCACATGCCTCAACACCTAAAAAACAAGTAACCTGGTTAAAAAATGGGCAGAGGATCTGAACAGATGTTTCTCCAAAGAAGAAATGCAAATCAAAACCACATGAGATGTCACTTCACACCAGTTACAATGGCCACTATCCAAAGGACAAGAAATAACAGATACTGGTGAGGATGTGGAGAAATGGGAACCCTCCTGCAGTATTGGTGGGAATGTAAATTGGTGTTAACATTGTGGAAAGCAATATGGAGTTTCCTCAGAAAACTAAAAATAGAAACACCATTCAATCCAGTAATTCTACTTCTAGGAATTTACCTGAAGAAAACAAAATCTCTGATTGAAAAGATATATGCACCTCAATGTTTATCTTTTTATCACTGCATTATTTACAATAGCCAAGATATGGAAACAACATAAGTATCCATCAACAGATGAATGGATAAATAAGATGTGGTACATGTACACTATGGACTATTCTTTAGCCATAAAACAAAAAGAAATCTTGCCATTTGCAACAACATAGATTGATTTAGAGGGTATTAAGCTCAGTGAAATAAGCCAGATGGAGAAAGACCAATGCCATACAATTTCACTTATTTATAAATTTAAAAACAAAGCAAACAGAATGAACAAAACAGCAGTAGATTTGTAGACACTGAGAAGTGACTAGTGGTTACCAAGGCAGAGGCATTGGGATGGGTGAAGGATACAAATGGGCACAATAATTCGCAATCACAATCTAAGTTGGTCATGGGTATGGAAGTACAGCATGGAGAATACAGTCATTGATTCTGTAACATCTGTCTATGTTGCTAGATAGTAACTGCATTAGAGGGGATGAGGATTTAATAATATAGGTAACTGTTGAACCACTGTATTGTACATTTGAAACCAATATGAGATTGTATATCAATGATACTTCAAAAAAAATCAAAACAGAAGTGTCAAAGTAAAGTTACTCCAATTTTTAATTGCTGTATTTTTTTTGTTGCTGTTAATTCTGTAACAGCTATAATCTTCCCATTACTTATTTGATTAATTTTGGTTTCGATGCACTTGATCTGCTGTTATTTTGTTAACCAACAATGACTCATGGTTATCATTTAAATGTGTTATATTCAGTAACAGTTACAGGAAATTCAGATACCATTCTGATATCACTTAGAAGGAAGCCGTGAAAGTAAAAGCTTTCAACAATTCTGAATAGTATCTATTTAACATGTCTGATGTTTTCAAATGGAAAGAACAAATGAATGACATGACACCAGAATTGATCACAGAATTATTTTCTTAACATTTGTTGGGGGAAATAATCTTAAAATGATCATCAAAGAATAATATGCTTTGTACTTAGCTAAGTACAAAGCAAATTTGGCATACTGAAGCTGTATGTTCTATACCTAAATTTGTCTCCCATAATTGTGATTTCTTATGTAGAGAACTACTAATACTTCAGACTGTTGCCAAACATAATATGAAGGACCACTTACTCAGACACCTGATCTTTGGAATGCAGCATCGTTTGTAACAATTTTAATGCTAACTAAGTACACTTTGATGAGACAGCATTTAATAAAATGCTCATTAATTTCATCATTAGCAAGGGTATGCTAAGAAGTAAGCCAGTTTCTTATGTCACGCCCAATTAGCATCCCATGCTAGTAATCCCATTAGTATTGTTGAATTCACTAATGGAAAAACTAATGGGCATGCTACCAGGGCACATTAATTGGGCACGACACCAGTTCTGGTTTTAATTATTAAACTACGATAATGAAATGCGTGTTTGTAAAATATTAAAATGTTGAAATAGGTTTGAAGAAAATAAAACAGTATGTAGAGAAAAGAGATACAAAGCAACTCAACCTACACAAATTCAAGGACTGGAAAATGGACTTACCAAGTGGTCATCTTTTGAGCTGATCGAGTTGTAAAAGTTGGGATATTGTCCACATGAGAAGCTACCCAGTCATACTCATGGGAAATTAAAAACTGTTTTTTTGTTACTTTGAAATTCTGTGTGTCGTACATATTGTCATGCTCTGTATGAGGCCTGACAGGAGCCAATTAAACATGTAGAATGGACATGTTGTAATACTGCTGAAGCTCTTTTATGGAAATACAAACAGAAATGTTTCATTGAAGACAGTATGATTAACATTGCATTTTGTGACTTGTGATTTTGCCATATTACATCAGGTAAATTAGTTTGCTCTTTTTAAAGAATACTATACCAAAATCAATAGAATTTGGTGAAACGTTCTGAGCAATTACAAAAATATTTTGTAATATTTTACTCAATCTTATTTTTGGTTTTTAAAGCTTTTCATTGGATTGAAGTGAATTATTGTTAAGGAAACTGACTTTATTAAAAAAGAAAGAAGGATATGTATTTTCATTTAGAAGGTTTAGAATAATTTTCTAGTTCTTTTTTCTTTTTTTTTTTTGGTTGATTGTTTTTTCTTTAATAGTAAAGTAGTTTAAGATGATGGTGACAAAGTTGGAATGTCTTTTTCTTAGTCTAACTTGCTAACTAACACTAAAATGCATGCCATTGATACCAACCAGGATATACTGAAAACGTGTTGACTTGGCTATAAAGTGTTAAGATAGATGGTTTCTCATCTATTTCTCTTTCTCTGTTTTTTACCCTCCCTCACTGTCTTTTTTTTGCTAATCTCTATTCTTGATTTCTGCCATTTTCTACTCCTGCCCATTTAGGAATTCATTTTTAAATATGATACTATTATGTGGGTAATAGACTACATATACTTAGTATGAATGCTGGAGTTTTAGACTACTAAGCACTCAGTGTTAAGTTTAACCACAACACTTATTTTTAATGTATTAATAACTGACCAATATTTAATGTGAATCTCATTCTTTCTTGTTATCAGTAATGTAATGGAGACACTAGAAACTAACTTTGCCGACCTTTCCCTATCTTTAGAATAACATTGAATGGTAATTTTATTAGTTTTAAATTCTTTTTTCTTATTTCTGCCAAAAAAATTAAAATCTAACATTTTAAAATAAAAACTCCATTACCTTTCTGATAAGTGTAGGTACTCAAAATACAAGTGTATTTGTAAGAGATTCCTGTACCAAAGAGGAGTTTTTTTCAGATTTGAGCACTGTGGTGTTTGTAGAAGTACATCACAGCACAGCCGGAATGACGTTAGACATCAACTTTAAGTTCTGCTTGAAACGAATTTTTGCTTGCATCAGGTCTGTGTTGAGATTTGTAAATTGGTCTTCAATATTCATTTAAATAAACAAATATATTCATTCATTAGTTCACTCCTTCCTTTTAGGGGTCTTCAGTGGAAGTTACCACAACCAATGATGATGATAAAAGATATAGCGACGGTGAATGGCATGAAATAATTGCTATCAGGCATCAGGCTTTCGGCCAAATCACGCTTGATGGGCAGTTCACAGGTGAGCACTTCCCTGATATACATAAACGGCTTTTTTGATATGCTGATGTTGCCATACTTTTCTGTTGTTTATATTTCTATCTCTCTTCTTTCACCTTTACCTCTACTCAATTTCATCTAAATAGATGTTGAATTTGCCTTTGGGGTGCTCCTAAAATAATGAAGTCTAGCAACCATTTTCTTATCTATGCAGGATTTCAGTAAAGCAAAAACAAGAACAAAGTCATCAGGAAAGTAGTTCTTTACAACTTGGAAGTGCCTTACCTTATGATCCCTCATATTGCTTTGACCTCCAGACACAAATAAAGTAGTTATTACATGCATTTTAGAGATGAGAAACTGAGGCTCAAAATAAGTAAATAACCTCTCCCAGTTTACACAGTTGGCAGGCAGTATGATAGTACAGGCTTTTATTAATCCATTTAAAAGATATGGACTTTTAATGAGCCCCTACTCTGAACCAGGCATTGATCTAGAAACTCTGGACACAAAGAGCAGTATTTATACTCTAGAAGGGAGAGGAGCAGGAGAGAGAATAAATAAATACTGAACAAATATCAAGTAGTGGTGCATTGTAGGAATGATAAACATGATAAGCAGGAAAGCTGTGTGTGTATTGGGGAGGGGATATTTTGGTTTTATGTAAGACTATTAGAGAAGGTCTATCTGATAAGGTGACATTTGAGCAGACCCATAAAGGGAGTAGAAGGGTAAAACAGGAAAATATCCGGAAGACTGTGTCACGCAGAGGGAACAACATGTGCCAGGGCCCTGAGGTGGAAACATATGCCGTACATGGTACACCAGGGACCAAGGATGCCAGTGTGGGAAAGAGGAAGTGCAGGGGCAAGCAGTAGGCTGAGATCAGAGACGCCATAGGGCTGTATTATATAGGGCCTTGTGGGCTTTTACTTGGAAAGATGGGGAGGCTTTTGGAGGATTTTGAGAGAAGAGTGACCTGATAAGACCTCCTTCTTTAAAAGGAACTCTCTGGCTTCTGTTTTGATAATACATTTTAAAAGGGACAACGGTTGAAGCATGGAGACCACTTAATAAGTTTCTGTAATAATTCTAACATAATTCAGGCAAGAAATAGTTTCTTGAACCAGGGAGGTAATTGTGGATGTATTGTAAATATTAAGTCAACAGAATTTGATTGAGGTAGAGCTGGCATTGTCACGCCACCACCCGAGGGCCAAACCCAGCTCATGCCTACTTTTGTAAAGTTTTATTGGAGCACAGCTTTACCCATTTGTTATGTATTGTCTATGACTATCTGAGACTGTAGGGTCTACAAAGCCTGAAATATCTACTACCTGACCTTTTATAGAAAGAGTTTACTAATACCTAAGGTAGAGCATGACTATTGGGTTTGGGGCCTGGGCAACTGGAAAAATGTAGCTACTGTACCAAAGGTGAACAAGGTGGTGGGAGAAGTAGATTTGGGAATTTGGAGGGAGACGTTCAGAGTTCAGAGTGTGAATGTGTTAAGTCTTAGATATCTGTGGGGCGTCTGGGTGGAAATATCAATCAGGCTTCTGGATATATGTCTGAGTTCAGGGAAGAATACAATTTGGGAGTTGTCAACTAAGGGTGGCTTTTAAAGCCAAGGGACCAGATGTGAGCAGGGCTAATTAGAGTGGTTTGGGCTCTGAGAAAAAAAAAAAATTCCCCTCCTCCCAAAGAAGGATGGAGTTAGACATCTTAACATGAGATTTGTGTTATTATGCAAGATAATCAGAAACCCAGACCCCTTCTGGCCTTTGGCCCTAGTAGGTTGCACAGGTGCCTGATCCTCTACTCATCCCTCTAGAGGACTTAAGACATCTGTGTAGGTGGGGAAAGGAAGAGATCTGAGAGGAGAGGCGGTCTGGGTCATTCCAGCATCAAGATGTGATGAGGCCAGTGAAGACAAGAAACAAGGAGAACCACAAAAGAGTAGCCTCCAGAAGCCCAGTGAAGGGTGTGACCATTTGCTCATGTAGCAGAACCTAGGTTGGCCTGCTGAAGTTGGAATTCTCATCTCTTTTTCCACAGGTTCCTCAGCCGCCCTGAATGGCAGCACAATCATTGGCGAGAGCACAGGGGTGTTTGTGGGAGGGCTGCCCCAGGGATATTCCATCCTCAGGAAGGATCCCGGTGAGTTTGGTTGTCACCAAAATTTAGAATTGCATCAATTTAAAATACAAAAAAATTATTTTAAAGTATCAATAATAATTTAATTTTCTATCTGATGCAGTCCTTCTTATGTCAATATATAAAAAATTCCTTTAGTTCTTTTCTAAAGGAACCATGTATTGCTTTATTCCTAGTGCCCAGTTCTTTATGTATAAAGGGAGTTCATTATACTTTTGCTGAAATGAATTATACTCTTTTAAGTCAAAGGTGTGTTATTTTAGGGTTATACATCAGTTTTTCTAAGATTTTAAATCTAATATAAAACAACACAGAAATGGAAAACTATGAGCTTGATTCAAAACATTCCCTGAGTACTGACTATGTGATAGGCATTAAACCAGTACCTAGATACCCATAAATGACTAAAATGTGGTCTTTGCCACAATAGATGGTACAGATACATAAATGGATAATTCCAACCAAATATTGTGTTATAATTGAGACATAGACAAAAGAATTTGTATATTTTTAGGGCATGAGGACAAAACTGACTCAAAGGAAATTAATAAAAACTAACATGAATCAAATTAATTTTAAGGAGAAAAAATAAAATCACCCTTCGAAATGAACTACTAGTGGTTCCAGGGCTGTTTCTAAGTCCTCATCAAGGAGCATAGGCTGTCTCCCAGGTCTCTCCCAGGAAGCAAAATGTAACTATGTAAATATTACAAATAAGCTAGAACCAAGATGAGAATACATTGTTCATGAGGGGTGGTCTTCAGGGAATCATGGTGACGTAGATCAAAATAAATAAAAAGTTTTCAGTGAATTTTGGAGAGCGATTATGTAAATACTCAAGTGTGATCATAGTTGCCTACTCAGAAATATCTCTAGTGTTGGTTTTCATACAACTACCTTAGACTGGTGGAAAAGTCCCTCAAAGACATAAACTCCCACACCCACACACAGACACACACACACGCACACACCTGCACAGTGCAACTTTGTCCTAATCCTTTGCCCATCAAGCACACATGTTGGCTACGGCACATCCAGGCCAGGAAAAATGCATGCCCTGGTACCAAGTATTCTCCTGTAGTGGTCACATCTCCATTTTGAATAAATAATTTGACATTGTGCATATAAATTTACCTTGTAAAACTTTGATTGCTGGTGAATACCTTCCCTAGAATTAAGTCATGAAATCAAAATCTGAAAACTGAGCTTTGCACTGATTGGTAAAGACTTGTTTGTATGAAATATGACCTCAGCTTCGGGTTCCTTCTCTCCTCTCTACTTTTTCATGTTCTGTCTCTTTCCAATTCTCTTATTTGCTGATTTTCTTTCTTTCCCAGCTCCCTATTACCACCCTATTTGCTATATTCATAAACTCCACATCTTCCTGGTCTTGGGACTTCAAAATAAACCTCAACATTGTACCGATTACTAAAAATTAAATCAAATTATTGATCAGCTTGTATAACAGACTGGTTCCTAGTGATTAGGGAGCTAAACTACAAACTACAGATTGAGTAGAAACACTTCCTTCAAATCTTACCTTTAAACCTCCTACAGAGTTTTTATTTTTAAGTCTAGTGGCAGATGAAATATCCTTGTTAGTTCAAAAGGCCGTATTCTTGCTAGTACTGCAAAACTAAGGGTTTTGCATAGGCATCTGTTTCTGCAGATGTGATGGGTCTGAATCAGGGCTAAACAAAATAATTGTTATCACTCACCATAGCCGATGGTGTGGTGTTTATATGAATCATTAAGGTTTGCAGTAAATAGGTAAAAGGAGCTTTTGCCCTTTTCTTTTATTTTAATGGCACATAAAATTAATTGCTTGAAAAAAATCGTTCGAAATACATATTTCTTGATATCTATCAACTCTTGCAGATATAATCCAAAAGGGTTTTGTGGGCTGTCTCAAGGATGTGTATTTTATGAAGCATTACAATCCCTTTGTTATTTGGGAACCTCTGGTTTGGCAGAGCTCTGAAGAGCAAATCAACGTGTATAACAACTGGGAGGGATGTCCCAGTTCATTACAAGAGGGAGTCCAGTTCCTAGGAACAGGTAAGGTCCTAAAATAGAGACCAGTGGTGGCTTAGCATGTATATTCTATTTTGAGCATAATTTAATCTCCCCTGTTCAATTTCTTTGACCCTGTATGAACCTAGTAACATAGAATTACCTAGTTATGCCATCATGCACATTAATGCATTCTCAAAGCCTGAATATGTAAGACTCATAAACATATATTCTCGCATCAGATCTCTGGTAGCCGACAGTATTCTCAGGTTGCATATGGGACTTCTGTGTCCATTTGTAAGTCAATTGTTTTACTTAGAATACAGTTCTACTTAGAAGGATGTTTCAAAGGAACCTTTATCAAGTTATTCCATTACAGAGATATACAATATTCTAATAGTAAAATCTGAGTTATGTACTGGGGTAGTTGCACCATTAAGGAAGAGCTGGAGCTTATAGCCAAGATCACTGCGATTGACTGCTCCAAGGCCTGCAGCAAAGTTGAGGGGTGGTGTCCCTGACATACCTCCTGGAAGTCACCCGGGGCAAGGGGTGAGAGGGGACATTGTAGCTTCGTGGACATGACTTCTTCTTCAAATAAAAGCCCAACTCTGCCTCCTACATTTGTAACTAAGTCAGTTATTAACTTGCTTAAACTACCTTCAGAACAGAAAGCTAACTAACATCATAATGTATGTATTTTTTCATTGCTCTTTTCTCATCACTGTTATTATTCTACATTTTTCTTAGTGTATCTGCTTATTGAAAATACTGATATAAAATAGTCATAGTCTTAATCATGTCCATGATTTAGAGAGTAAATTGCTTCCACTTAAAAGGTATGTCAAATTCATGCTGCCATTTCTTTACAACTACAAGGGGAATTTCTTAATATTAGTTCGCATCTTCATTTGTGAGAGATTTACTCAATGACAGTGTATGTCCTTGAGCCTATTACACCCTTAGAATGCTGCCAATACTGTTTTTCACATGCCAATATGTACATATTCTTTTCTTGAAAGGGTTCCTGGAACTTGCTCCATATGTGTTTCATGGTGGAATGGACTTTGAGATTTCCCTTACATTCAGAACTGACCGATTGAATGGGTTGCTGCTTTTCATTTACAACAAAGATGGACCTGATTTTCTTGCTGTATGTTAATTAACTTAATTAAATTTACTTTAAATATAAGACCCAACTTTAAAATAAATGAGTCATGTGGTAACATTTTGCTAAATTAGGGGTTCTTTTCAAATTTACTTTCGTTTTCATTTTCTTCTTCAAGTCATTTTTAGTTTTGGAGTCCTACAAAATATTGTGTCTTTTAGGATTATAATGATATTTTAAGTGACCATTGTTACTGTGAATTGTAATTTTAATAAAACAGGGTAAGAAATTAACTAAGAAAATCCCATGTATTTTCCCAATATATGAAAAATATTACTTCATTCAATTATCTTTTGATATGTGTCAAAAGAATGCATATAATATACATATATACTTTATAGTGCACATATGTACATACACATTAAATAAAACATAATAGTACAACGAATACTTATGAAACTGCCATCCAACCCAAGAACTGAAATACCGTCAATTTTTTGCATTTACCCATAGTGTCTCTCCTATCCTACTTCCCTATCTCCCTTCAGAGGTAATATGTAATCAGAATTTCATGTTTATTATACCCTTGCCTGTGTGGTATAGCTTGAATACCAAGTATGAATTTCTAAAATTTATTGTTTTTGAAATTTATAAAAGTTATACTTTATCTTTAGGAAATTGTTTTTGCACTTGGCATTGTTTTTGAATCACTCATATTCTTCATGTAGGTATATACATTTTCATAGCTGTGTAATATATTTCTCTTATCAATGACACATTGTTTCCATGTTTTTGCTATGGTGAATAAGGTTACTCTGAACATTTTTATATATATTTCTCTAAACTCAGTAGGCAAATGTAATTGCTTTTACAGTTCTGTCCTCAGTGCTTAACTCTTGATACTTATTCAGTACTCAGTAAACATATTGGATGAATGAATGAGTGAACATGTAAATGAATTCATGCTGTGGTGACCCTTTCTAGATATTCTCTAATAATCTATCTGTGCATAACTTCTGTAGAGGCTTCAAAGATATTCATCATTTGGTCTTTCCTCTGGTGGGGGGACCCAGGCTCTGTCAAGGCTCATAGATATTGCTGTGCACTCCCTTCAGCCCTCCATCTTCCCCATTCATTGGCTTTGGAAATATAATACTTTTCAACTAGATTAAATAATAATGCTACCTTTAAGCTTGATGAAATAAATCTTAAAGAAAAAAACATGTAGACAAATATATATGTGCCTACTATGTGTGAGACTTTCTTTTCTTAGATGCACTTTCAATACAACTATAAAGGAAGCAGACCTTCGTAGGACTTACATTCTCATCTTCCATATCTGAGGACTTAAGCTTCTCACAAAAGAACTCTTCCTGTTATCCTGAGTAGCTTCAGTAAATATGGTTCTCCCCTGGAACTTGTTCGACCCGTAAGATTATCACTGCTAAAAATCTTAAATCTCAAAATATAACCCCATATCCTTCCAGCTCTCATTTTATCTTACTGAGGTCACTAAGGCATTGAGACCATTGGCTGTTAGCCCTCTTTCAATTAACGTTCATGCACCCTACCTTAGGCACCATAATATAGCTTCTCAAACATTTTTCTGCCAATGCCCTGAACTTGTATCAACTCCACAATCCTGGATCAATCTCTTTGGCTGCCTAGCATTTCAGTTTCAATAGCCAGATTACTAACACTATAGGAAAACTAATACAGGGACTAAGACTAGTGATGTGCTGAATTTCGAGATTTCTAATTCCTTCATTCAACAATATTTATTGTTTATAGGATTTGCTCAAAGAATTAATGTGGAAAGTGAAAGAAAAAGCATTTTAGGACCTGGAAAACACTGCAACCTGAGTATCTTCAGATAGTCAGCCACTCTTTTAATAGAAACAACATAATTTCTTCAACCTTCAAATTCTCTACCTAAAAACTTTACTATCTATGAACCAAGCCTGATTTCATTCTCTCCTGACTCAGCAGAACAAATACAATTGCTTCCAGCCAAAGTTGATATTTTTACCTTTACTTTAGACTCGTCCCTTCTCCTGCAAGAGCTTGCGCTACAAATTATCCCCTTTGTAAATTCAAATATTCCCTCTCCATCAGCTCTTTTCCCTCAACATCCAAGAGGCTGAGCTTCATTCATCTGACAGCTTTTCCATTTTGATTTTGAAAATGCTTCTATTGTAATTCCTTTCCCTTTATAATCAACTGCACTGAAAGTCATTAGTCCGGTTATTTCTACTTCCTCATTATACCTCATTTCTCAAAATGAGTGATATTTGGTTCCTGCATCTGCCATATTCCACTGAAAAACAATTTTCTAAAGTTGCCAATAATGCCCATATCTCCTACCCTACTAGATAATTTTTAGTCCATAACTATATTTGATCTTTCTCTGTCGTCCCTTTTTTTTTTTTTTACTACATCTTAAAATATTCTTCGCTGCTGACTTTTCAAATTGCTGGTTGCTCTTGATTTGTATTAAATTCTTCTGGCTTCTCCAAGATCATTGTCTCCTTAAAGAACTTCATCTACTTTACCTTCTGCATAGTACATTGGTCTTGCTGAAGACTCTTCGTATGTGTTTTGTCATAACCTTCTTCCATTTTACTGGCCTGTCTTTATGTTCGACTGCCTCAAAAATTTTTCTTCTGGATTTTTCATAAGAAGTTCAAATTTGAATATTTAAAATTGAACTCAGTCTTTCTCCCCAGCAGTAATACCCAGTCTTTCTTTCTAATACTTTCCATATTGTGGTGGTGGTAAATCACACCCAACCAGAAAGAGGATGGGAGTCCTTTATTTACTTTCTATTCATCTAACTCATTCAACTGTTTACCAGGTCCTGCTGAGTTGCTTTTAAAAATACTTCTTAGATGAAATTTTCACTATCTTTGTCATCGTTATATTTATTTTAATGGTTCTAATCATTTTTTTTCTCAAAAATGCATGGATTCACTTAGTTTCTCCAATTCCAGTCCATCTTTTATTTTCAGTAACTACTTTTTATGACCAGAGGTGAACTTTTAGTGCAAGATACTACAGGAAAGAATACAGCTTTAGTAACAAACAGACAAGGGAAAGATGAACTTTTTTCCATAGCTCTCAAAATTCTTCAAAATCTTGCTTCTACATTCCTGGCAGGACTCTTTCTAACTCACCCCACCCCTATACGTATCCTCTGTTTTACCTAATTTAGGAATTTTTCTGAATCTAATGCCATTGAACATGTTGGTCTCCTTGTCAGAGGGTGCTCCACGAATCTTGTGTACTTCCAAAACCTGACCTTAAACTTTTCCCAATTACCAGAGAGCAAAAGGTATATCTTTTCTCTGCTTTTATTGTACCCCAAACCCATCTCAGTTATAGGGTCACCCTACATGTTTGTCTGCTATTAGTGAGATTGGGAACAGTGTTTATCTTATGGCAGCAAGTTTACGAAACAGTAGGGGACTCAATAATTATTGAATGAATGGTTAGATGAACAAATGACTCATTCCCTGATGTACATCACAAAGATGATATTTACATAGAAAAAGTAATCATTTTTATCTGGTTTTGTTTCATTTGACATGGTTGGTCTCAAAATTTTAAGTATTCTATGGTTGCTGGTTTGACTTCGAACAAAATAAAAACATAGAAGGTAAAACAATTATCATTTAACATTTTGAAAGCAAACATTTAGAGGCATTTCTTTTACCATGAAAATTTGAGTAAAATATGTTCGTATTAGAAAATGGCACCTTAATCTAAAAGAATGCACATACAAGCAATTACGTTAGTTAGAGGTTTAGAATAATAAAACTGAGGTATTGAATCAAAGTATCTTAGAAACTTGAAATTGAGTTCATCAGCCAGTTAAAATAAACTTAATCGGCCTTGACATTTCATTTTCTTATTGTCTTGTCATATTTTTCCCCCAAATTAAATTGATACATGAAATAGCATTTTCTCATTTTCTAAAAACTCAAATAAAAATAGAGTCATAGTTCAAATTGTTCTATTCTCATCATTCAGTCGCTTAATGCTAGGGTTTAATCTTCTACTTTGCACACAGAAAAGTTTTTGCCTACATAATATTGCATCACATAGTATAATCATTACTGGGTATGCATTTGTTTGACTCAATACAATATTCTTCATGTCAATTATAAGCTGGCAAAGTACTCTATTATGCGTTGCTCCAGTTCTGCTTAGAATAAAGAAGAACATTTTTATAGAGGGCTTTCAGGGAAATTTGTTGCTTTTCTTTAAGAAACTGACCTTCTGCTCTCTCCTAAACTGACATTCTGCAGCCTTTTTATATACCTATTTTCTTTCTTAATATGAAATGCAGATGGAACTGAAGAGTGGAATATTGAGCTTCCGGTTAAATACCAACCTTACTTTCACACAAGTGGATCTTTGGCTGGGTCTGTCCTATTGTGATGGAAAATGGAATAAAGTGATTATTAAAAAGGAGAATTCCGTCCTATCAGCCAGCATGAATGAACTGATGGAGCGTGTGTCAGAGCCCAGAGCCCAGCTATTGATGGTGAATTCCCCTGTGTATGTGGGAGGAGCCCCGCAGAGGCTGCGGGATTCTTATAAACACCTGAGTTTGGAACAAGGTAAACTGTATATGGAGAATTACACAAATCAGTGTAGCCCTGGTGCTACCAGATTGGGGAGGATTCTGTGTTTCAAGATAGAGCAATAGAATCAACTTGAAAGCAATACCCTCTCACTCCTTTTTGGAAGCATCTGAAGTTCTAAAAGTATCATAGAACACTTCAAATTGTTTTATATGTTGCCCTTAAGCGTGTTCCCTCATACCTATTTGTAATGAATATATATTTTCTAACATGTCTTCAGCAAATATAACTATAATCAATATAATTGTAATAATAATAATTATGATTAATAATATAAAATAATATTATATATATATATATCTATTTCCTCATATATTTTCCTTGAAAACACATGTGGTTCTGGTTCTATTGAATACGACCATTATGTAAGATAAATTTTAGCTGAAATAAGCAGGCAATGGGACACAACAAAAGGCCAGGCAGTTTATTTGAGCGCAATTTCCGGGCGATGTTCCCCAGTCTGGCTAGTTACAGGCTGGAGAAGTCACGCTCAACTAGAGAGGCGGGGAGTTTTTATAAGCACAGGGAGGGGCGGGCGAAGTGGGCCACCAGGGGTATGTGGGGAATTTTTTATTGGCTCAGGGTCGGGTGATGGACAGCCAGAGGTCTCCTCCTTCCGGATGGAGGGGGTCTGCATCCGGGGTTTGTCAGCACGTCAGGGGACTGGAATCCCGCAAGAGCTGTCCGTTCCTTCTTTACATGGCACAGAGCTGTTTGGTGCTGTCTTTGTTCCATTTGCACTGTCCTTGCTTTTCTCCCTCTGGTACCTCCAGCCTTACACATTACCTATATGTAAAGATAAAAAATAAATTAGGTAGGGATAGGGATGCACAACTAGGAAAAATGGCATTAAATTCACTGGGTTTCTTTTTTAATTAAGGTATCATTGATATACAATTTTATGAAAGTTTCACATGAGCAACATTGTGATTTCAGCATTCACCCATATTATCAAGTCCCCTCCACCCCATTGCATTCACTGTCCATCAGCTTAGTAAGATGCTATAGAGTCATGACTTGTCTTCTCCATGCTATACTGCCTTCCCTGTGACTTACCTATATTGTGTGTGCTAATTTTAGTGCCCCTTGATCCCATTCTCCCTCCCTCCCCATGCATCCTCCCCAACTCCTTTCCTTTGTTAGCCACTAGTCCCTTCTTGGAGTCTGTGAGTCTGCTACTGTTTTGTTCCTTCAGTTTTGCTTCATTGTTACACTCCACAAATGAGTGATATCATTTGGTACTTGTCTTTCTCCACCTGGCTAAGTTCACTGAGCATAACACCCTCTAGCTCCATCCATGTTGCTGCAAAACATAGGATTTGTTTTCTTTTTATGGCTGAATAATATTCCATTGTGTATACATGCCACCTCTTCTTTATCCATTCATCTACTGATGGACACTTAGGTTGTTTCCATATCTTGGCTATTATAAATAGTGCTGCAATAAACATAGGGGTGCATATGTCTTTTTGAATCTGGGATCTTGTTTTCTTCTGGTATATTCCTAGGAGTAGAGTTACTGGGTCAAATAGTATTTTTAGTTTTAGTTTTTTGAGGAACCTCCATATTGCTTTCCATAATGGTTGAACTAATTTACATTCCCACCAACAGTGTAGGAGGGTTCCCCTTTCTCTGCATCCTTGCGAGAATTTGTTGTTTCTGGTCTTTGGATGTTGGCCATCCTTACTGGTGTGGGGTGATATCTCATTGTGATTTTAATTTGCATTTCCCTGGTAATTATCAATGTGGAGCATCTTTTCATGTGCCTGTTGGCCATCTGAATTTCTTCTTTGGAGAAGGGTCTGTTCAGATCCTCCCCCCATTTTTTAATTAGATTTTTTTATGAGTATTGATGCATGTGAGCTCTTTATATATTTTAGATGTTAAAATAAGCCCTTATAGGATAAATTGTTTACAAATATATTTTCCTATACTCCCTTTTTGTTCTGATGATGGTGTCCTTTGCTGTACAGAAGCTTTTCAGTTTGATCTAGTCCCTTTTGTTCATTTTTGCTTCTATTTCCCTTGCCTGAGGAGATGTGTTCAGGAAAAAGTTGCTCATGTTTATATTCAAGAGATTTTTGCCTATGTTTTCTTCTAAGAGTTTTGTGGTTTCATGACTTATATTCAGGTCTTAGATCCATTTGAGTTTACTTTTGTGTGTGGAGTTAGACAATAATCCTGTTTCATTCTCTTACATGTAGCTGTCCAGTTTTGCCAATACCAGTTATTGAAGAGACTGTCATTTCCCCATTGTATGTCCATGGCTCATTTATTGTATATTAATTGGCCATATATGTACAGGTTTATGTCTATGCTCTCTATCCTGTTCCATTGATCTATGGTTCTGTTCTTGTGCCACTACTAAATTGTTTTGATTACTGTTGCTTTGTAGTAGAGCTTGAATTCAGGGAGCGAAATCTCTCCCATCTTTGTTCTTCTTTCTCAGGATTGCTTTGGCTACTTGGGGTCTTTTGTGGTTCCATACGAATTTTAGAAGTATTTGTTCCAGTTCGTTGAGGAATGCTGTTGGTATTTTGATAGGAATTGCATCGAATCTGTAGATTGCTTTAGGCAGGATGACCATTTTGACAATATTAATTCTTACTACCCATGAGCATGGAATGTGTTTCCATTTATTGGTGTCTTTTCAATTTCTCTCATGAGTGGCTTGTAGTTTTCAGGGCATAGGTCTTTGACCTCCTTGGTTAGGTTTATTCCTAGGTATTTTATTCTTTTTGATGCAATTGTAAATGGAATTGTTTTCCTGATTTCTCTTTCTGCTAGTTCATCATTAGTATATAAGAATTCAACAGATTTCTGTGTATTAATTTTGTATCCTGCAACTTTGCTGAATTCAGTTATTCTAGTAGTTTTGTGGTGGATTCTTTAGGTTTTTTTATGTACAATATCATGTCATCTGCAAACAGTGACAGTCTTCTTCCAACCAATCTGGATGCCTTTTATTTTTGTGTGTTGTCTGATTGGTGTGGCTAGGGTCTCCAGAACTATGTTGAATAAAAGTGGTGAGAGTGGGCAACCTTGTCTTGTTCTTGATCTTAGAGGAAAAGCTTTCAGCTTTTCACTGTTAAGTCGCTGGGGTTTGTTTCTGACATAAATGCTAATTGTCTCCATGCATTTCAATAGCAAAGCACATTAAAGGGTGAGTTTACTTGAATTTTGAATATGTTTGTGAAAAATCTGTATATCATTTATTATTAAGAACCATCAATGAAAGGAAAAGCACATGAGTGTATGGCTTATAACTACAGCAAGTGTTTAATTTACAGTGTAAGTTTGAACATTACAGGAAAATTATTCATCACAAGGGACTAACACTATCTGAGTACATACTGTGTGTTGGGCCTGTTTCTGAGAGTTTTACATGTGAATCAGTGGGTCAGTTCTTTATAAAAGGCCCATGAGTTTGGTGTTACTATTCACAACCCTATTTTACAGATGAGAAAACTGAACAGCAGAGAGGGACGTAAGTTGCCCAAAGTCACGGGACTAGCAAGGAGCTAACAAGCCTGTCTGTCTCAGGCAGCGAGGTTTCAAAGGCCATTCTCCTTATTATAATTGAGTGTTTTCTCTTATGGGCACTGTCCAGTGTTCCTTCTGTATAAAATGGAAAGCACAAAAACTTTCAGCTTGTGAACAAGCATGCTGTAGTGCAGAAAAATGTTCTCCACATATTTCAAAATCTATGCACCATGAATGGTTAAAATTTCCATGAAGCAGTCTTTGCCTATTTGGTAAGTACATAAAGATTTAAATGCCTTTGAATAGAAAATATATGGCAGGCTCTAAGGAGACTTTTAGAAGGGTACTAGTAAGGAGTTAATGAATATCTGGGGTGTAAGACAGTAATGACATTTTCAAGGCACTTAAGATGTAACAGCAGCTAAAAATATTACATTCATACCCGGCTTCTCCTCATTTTCAGGTTTCTGATATTCAAAAGAGCTTGAAAGCCCTTTGTATGAGCAAGATTACTTGATCCTGTTTACAACTAGGAAAAACCCTACATATTGAGCATTATATTTTAAATGTACACCAAAACCCATTATTACTATGACAACCTAGAAACATGGCTAAAACTGAAACGATAAAATAATAGTAACAGAAGTTTAAAACATCAACATACACTCAAGGGGAATAATTTAATCTAAATTTTGACTAAACATATTTTATTAAGAGTTAATTCTAAATTTTTATCATTGCAGTATCATCCCTATCAGTGGTTCTCAAACTGCTGATAAACTATTAAAGCATAGTAGCTGGAACATAATAAGAACTCAATAAAATTAGCTATTGTTATTACTATTCAAGATACACTGAGATCAGATCTCAGTGTATCTTTAAACATAGGGTTTATGGCCCTATCTCCTAAGATTCTGACTTGGATGCTTTGAATGATACTGATTTATATAAGTAACTGCATGTTTTGCACATGAGAATAAAGTGATCAGGAGAATAGACACAATATAAAGGTGCTACATATACTTTAATTTCAATGAAAATTAATCATGTTTACTTACTTTACTTTTTTCAATCCATTATCAACAGCCTTAAAAATCTTTCTGTACTTCTCAATTAGCACCTTTTTTTCAGAGGCTATTTTGTGGTCATATTAGTGCTATTTTTTTCTTATTCATTAATGTTGTAATCTTCCTTTGAATCAAATGCAAACTAATTTTCCTCTGCTCTTTGGAAGAGCTGGACAATATAATTGCTAAGATGACCAGCTCAGATCACGGGCATCTAGATTGGAACTATCACTACAGATAGTTCCCAACCTTCAGTTGGGAATGACTGGGCCGTGGCATATAGTGTCAAAGGTTATGCTCCGCCTCAGGCTTTGAATGGGCAGAGCAGAGTGGGGGTCAAAAGCCAGCCTTCCTTTCAACTCAAGTGTCCCAGTGTAGGACTGCCTGTCCAGGAGGCCTACTGTCTCTTTGATCTGTCAACCTAGAGTTCTGGTTATAACCTTTTAGTTATTTGGAGGCCTGGGGGTGGGGATGGGAAGGAGAGTCTTTTTTGATTCTCACAGGGCAAGAAAAGAATGCATCTCTACTCCTACAGACGGGCCCCTTTCCCTCTTCTTATCCTCACACCCCATTCAAATTTTGAAGGTAATTGGGGAATATTTACAGTGGTACAGAGTTGAAAAAATTGTGCCAATGTCATTTGGCAGAACTCAATGGCTGCCCTAGGACAGCTCAGAGAGGATCCCACACCAGAGCTCAGACATCTGCACCTCCCAGACCTAAACCCAGAGCCCTGCTTCCTAAGGAGGTTTAGAGCTTGGAAATCTCATTCTATAACTCTCTGGGCCTTTTTCTCTATCTCTTGAATGAAGGAAGACTACCTCTGTGGCCTTTCCCAAATGTAAAATTCCATTTCATGAACTAATTTTGAAGATATTTCTTTTTAAAAATGTTTTAGACTTTGAAATATACTTAAGTTACCGTTTTAACCCTTTTTAAGCATACAGTTCAGTGATATTTAGTACGTTCACATTGTTGTGTGACCATCACCACTATCCATCTCCAGAACTTTGCACTTTGCAAAACTGAAACTCTGTACCCCTTAAGGAAAAATGGGACTTTTCTTATAATGACACTTAGATGTTTGCCTAAGCTGCATTTCTACCATTTGTATTTTCTGTTGGTAGGGAAACTGGAGTGAAGAGAAGTCAGGTAACTCAGCGACATGCCATCAGAAATTTACTGCTGGTAAAGAAATTAGATTTTTTCGCTGCAGAATTTTCAAGCAGATGCTTTTATATTGAGCTTCATTGCTTTCAATTCAGTTCACCCAATGTATTGAGTGTCTACTGTGTGTTCAAGATAGACCAGCAGTATTGATCAGTTGGGCCTAAAGGAATGTGAATAATAGCAGAGACATTTAAAAGGAAATAGGCTGCAACTTAATGTGTTAGAAGACATAATAAGACATCATATAAATGCTGAAGAAAACAATATGGTCATTGTTACTATTAGCTTATTTTGCTGTTAAGCATTCCATTATGTTTATTTCCATTTCCTGCTGATGGGCTTTCATCTTGAAAAGAGCTAATCATGTGTTTGGGGCCTTTCCAGCTTGACAATGTTTTGTTCTGAAAGAGTGTGTGTGTGTGCTACAGCAATCTCAAACTTAGTCTGTTTGTCTCTTCTTTGACAATTTTGTGCGGTTTTCTGAGCAGAGTACTGCCAAACCTCATTGAGCTGATCTCAGTGTAGCCAGAATAGCATGTAATTCAAAGCAAGTGCCCTTCCCTGACTGGCTGATGCCCTATGGTTCTCTAACAGAAAAAAAGCAGGGTGTACCTTCCAACCCATTTCCTTCACATTCTCTGTTAAACTTCACAGAACTGTACTGTACTGTGGTCATTCTAAAGTCAACTTGTGTAGAATACATTGTCCTTAAAACCTCTGGACATCGCCATTCCCAAAGCTGAAATTGGTCCTTGTCATGCTAACATGAATGTACAACTGGTGACCACTTTGTATATTCAAGAGTGTGGAACTCAGAGATGCCAGAGCCCAGTCCCAGTGCTGCGGCGTGCTGATTTAACGAGGGCTCACTTCTCTATCTCTGAAATGATTACTAAGGCATTCATGGCAATGTGTCTGGATTCTAGTAAGCTGTGAAGCTGTATTCTCCTCCTGCTAGCCTGCATAATATCCTCAAAGGGTATTTTTCCCCAGTGAACATGTTGGATAATCATGATTTTTCAAGTATTATTTTTTGGCACTTAAACACTAACTTACATAGGTGACTTAATTTTCCAGAATTGAGGGACATGTGGGAGTAACCCCCTACCATAATATGTGATCGCCTAAATGTTATTTTATGAGAATAAACAGACTGAGAAAATGTGGGCCTGAAGACATATAATAAAGACTTTCAGTTGAATATCATTCATCTGAATTATAATTATCAGCTTTTTTTTTTAGAATACCATAAATATAAATATTTCCCAGTGACCAGTTTGCCTGATGAAAAACAGGAGGAGGCATAAAGCATTTCCCAAGGGAGACTGGAAAGTTAACAACTAGTATCTAAAGCAGCCCCCCTCCCCTCCGCATCAAAACACTACTGCAGAGGACAAAAATGATTGGTAATTAACGACACAAGCCTTTTACGTGATATTAATCCCTTACTATTTGCTAGGTTTCGGTGGTTGCATGAAGGATGTTACATTTGCACGGGGTGCTGTCGTTAACGTGGCATCTGTGTCCAGCAGCGCTGTCAGAGTCAATCTGGATGGATGCCTATCAACTGACAGTGCTGTTAACTGCAGGGGAAATGACTCCATCCTGGTGTACCAGGGAAAGGGGCAGAGTGTTTACGAGACTGGGCTCCAGCCTTTTACAGGTAACATGGAAGTGCTGTAAAGGAAATGTTACACATCTCCTCCTCAGACCCTCTTTCCTCCCTGCCAGCCCATCACTAGTCTATTTGAGTAATATTTTAATCTTTCTACTTCTTATTTCCACTTAAGAATACCTGTATCGTGTGATAGGCTCCCATGAAGGAGGCTCTGTATATAGTGATTGGAGCCGGGGACGAACAACAGCAGCAGGTAAATATTATTTATTCTAAAATATGTATGCACACAGACACTCGTTTTTGTCTGCATGTCTGTGTTTGTAAAGAAAAGGGAAGACTGATAGGCCGAAGCAGGTCACATGGTTGTACTCTCATGACAGAGCATGCCATGGTTCACCCATGTATCTTTCAATGGTTAAAATGCTTAGCAGAGAAGAGCTTTTGTTTTGCAAGTATTTAATAAGTATTTGCTCAGGCTTGATTCTTTTCTCTTCAGGTGCAGGAAAGGAGTTCAAGTTTTCCTGAGGATTTAATAGGCCTGTATCTACAGTAATGTGTCTTAAGGGCAGAGCACCTGTATAGACTGCACAGACCCCAAGAAGCTAATGTCAGGATTAGCCTGTAGGTGGGGGTGGCCCCTTCCTGCCGCTGTCTCTAGAGACCACGTGTGAAATTTGCACCCTGGTTGAAAGCAGATGTGTTTTTTATCACATTGCGGCAGATGTTTGCCATGGTGTTGACTATTAGGATCTTAGAATGACTCTCCCAGGAAGGAAATTGCTGATTGGCTTAATTTTTTTGAGTTGGAGGGGAAACAGCTAGGAGATTGAATATATTAGAGCTAATATCAGGCAACTGATTTATTTATTTATTTATTCTTAAGGTATCATTGATATACAATCTTATGAAGGTTTCACATGAGCAACATTCCGGTTAAACTGCATTCACCCATATTATCAAGTCCCCACCACATACCCCAGGTACAGACACTGTCCATCAGCATAGTAAGATGCTATAGAGTCACTACTTGTCTTCTCTATGCTATACCAGGCAAATAAATGATTTATAAGTACTTTGTACTTCTGAATACCATCACAGAAAGGTATTCATCATGCAAAGTTCTGAATTTTGACGCAGCAGCCTTCTCTCATTTTGGGCCAAATATTTCTCAGGAAGTCAGATACATTTCCATATGATTGCCAGCTGTATCTCTTGAAGAAATTTTGTCTTTAGCCAATCACAATTTGTCTACAGATGTGTTTTTCATCAAGATATTCTCTCGTACTTATTATCAGTCATGGGTTACTAACCCAGGCATCTTTTAAGGAATCTTCTTAATTTAAATGATAATTAAATACTGAGATGGGCTACTAACAATAGTTTTCAAATCTCTCTGCCTGAATATTTTCCAGAAGACAACTTGACACTTTTCCAGGATGATTTAAGTTATCATCTATTTATAGACAAGACAATGAACTGAATGATCTCTTAAAATCCTTTTCAACTTCAGCTCTTGGAAAAAGCTCTGATATAAAATATTAATTTGTTATGGCATGTCCTTTACCCCTACACTTTATTAACAAATGCACTATAAAGTCTGCTTTCAGTCTCATTTAACAACATAAGTAGGAGTCTAGAAAGTGCATGCTTATGCACCTTAATAGTCCCCAATTTGAGTACCACCGAGGAAGGATGCAAATAGAGCTCTGAATTTATAGCAATGATCTGACCACAAAGTCTTACACCATAAATTCATATTTATAATCTGACCACAACACTGAGCAGCTACATGCTCCCAAGGGTTGGAGAATAATTGCACTATTTAATTATTTTTGAGTCAGTTTTGCTCTGTCCCTTATGAGAAGGCCATCTGTTAGACCGTACTGTACTTTCCCGGTACCACATTTCAGAACTAATAAAATCCCTCCCATTGTCCCTTTGCTTGCAGCCTGATTGTGAGGCCTGTGTGTTTTCTACAGGCGCCCATGGTGCCAAAGGCAGGCAGTGTCTCTCCACTTCTGTGCCTCCTCCCATACTTTAGGTTGACTTTGTTTCCTTCAAAACCATCCTGTTTGACTGGTCTGAATGAGAAAGTCAGAGAAGGAAGATGTTTGATGTGGGCAAACCAGAGTGATCTTCACTGGCAGGGCTCAGGGGTCCGCGAGTAGTTAGCACGGGTCTTTCATCCGTCACCCTGACAAGGAGTTCCTTAGGCTTTTTCTCAGTGTCCCCAGTGCAGTCAGCTGTGATGAAGTTTTTCCTGATCAGAACTGTAGAAAGATCTAATAAATAGTTAAAAGTTATAGATTTTTAAAATTAGGGTACCCGGCCTTTAAGTGAGGTATAGCAGTTCCTTAAAATTTCCTGATTTTCTGCAATACTCTGAAGAAAATGGGTCTGAAAATCGTTTTGTATAATCTCAAGGGCACCAGATCCTCTACTCCCCAAATTCCATTAAGAATGTATCCCGTATATCATATCTGGTAGAACATTGCTTTTTTAAAAATTAATTTGAGAAACAATTGAATCTAGAAAATGAGATCAGACATTCAAGTGCAATACAATCACATTTGTGATATTTTTTGGCTAATATGTTGAAGATATAAAAGTGTCAAAGCACTATGTATAATAACAGTCTAATTATCCTGCTTCAAAGGGGTACATCATTATATTGTTTAAACTTGTTATCTGCCTACCATCCACCTCCTTCTTTATGAGTGATGTTTAAAACATGTCAGATACATTAAATGTTTTTGGAAAACCTGGACTAGACTTGAAAGAACGTTATGTCGATGGAGTTTTGATGGCTCTGAAATATCGCTTAAACTGAATGGCTCAAGACGTGCAGTCATATTAAATCAATGCTGAAAAGTTACAACTCTAATAAATTGTATTTATGCTAATGGTTGAGTCTGATTTACTGCAGCCATTAAAAGTGAAAAATAGGGGCAATAGTCTTCTCAGAACTGCCATTTTCTCTATTTTCTCTTTCATCCTTTCACAGCTCCACAAAGTGTGCCAACTCCCTCAAGAGTTCACAGCATAAATGGATATAGCCTCGAGGTGACTTGGGATGAACCTGTTGTGGTTAGAGGCGTAATAGAGAAGTACATTCTGCGAGCCTACAGTGAGGATGACCCTGGAGCACCCCGCATGCCCTCTGCCAGTTCAGAGTTGGCCAATGTCAACACCTTCACAGGTAAAGGTGATTCATTTGAGGAGTAGATCTTACCAATTTTCTTTTTGCTTTGACTTTAAATAAAAACATTCTTCAAAGTTTTGTTCCCTAAACATTACACATTTATATGTTTTGCCCAATTAAATAGAAGAATATCTAATAAGATGGAAGGCTGTATCCACTTAGGATGAAAAGGATAATTCTATAATGTTCATCAACTCTTATGGATAGCTTTATTACAAGGTTGACATTCTCTCTGGCCCCAAAAGATTAGGTCAAAGGTGGCTATTGCCATTAAATACTCTGTAGGCATCATTTAAGAGTCCTGTGCATGTATACAAAACCAGCTTACTTATTTCACCAGGCAAAAATTTACTCTTTGGGACTAGCCTGAGTTCACAGCACCATTATTTATTGTAAAATTGTTGATTAAACCTAATTATGTCAAGGCAGAGGAGGGTGAGAGCAGCAGCAGTTTGACTGGCAAACCAGTGAATCAATTTCTCACGGTGCAGCATGGCATGCAGAAGGACCCAGGTACATACACATCACACACATGTGTCCCTACTCAAATCATGTACGCATAGTAAGACAGAAGTTTTCAGTTTCATGAAATGTTGCAACACATCTAAATGGAAAGTCAAACTGAAACCTTTGACCAAAAAAGTAAAATGCATCAACAAGTATGATAGGAAAAGTTTTTTTTTCTCTGTCAAAGAATCTTACAACTTGAAAATTAATACGGACTTTAGAGTAGCCTTAATTATTTTTCCAACATGTATCTCTCTGTCAAACCCCTCAAGCCTCTAGGTCCTGTTTTAGATTCCTTACAGTCTATAGCTCAAATAAGCAACAAATTTTTAAAAATCTTATATCTGTCACTTCCTGCTTCCCTATTTTACCCACCTAATAAAACCCAATCTGATTAAAGCCCACAGTTCACCTTTTCCCAGGCTGCACACTGAAGCTAAGCAGGCTGGGGAAAAAAAAAAGTAGTTTGTCAAAAATTCTCTGTCCCCATTTTCAAATGGGCACTCAGAAATGATGCCAAGCTTACCTTATTTCTATAATAAGCAACTTCTTCCCTCCCCCTCATTAAGTATTTTGTATTTTACCAGACTGAGTGCTAACCTTCCTTCCCCATCCCACTCAGCTCATGCTCTTATGTATTAGATCATCTTAGACACCCGAGAAGAAACAGAATCTGTCATATAGGATTTGTCAATTTCCAACTGCCAAATATATACATTAATTGCATTTTTCCAACTGATAAGGTTATTAGGGGTTAAATGAATTTAATGTATGCTACCACCAAAAGTGTATAATCAACTGGCATTTGGAAAAACTGACATTCCCAACAGACATCTCATAATATTTAAATTTACCATATCCAAACCTGAGCTCCTTCGTCTCCTGCAGTCCCAATATCAATAAATCACACACTTTCCCCAATCCCCCCAGTTAATCAAGCTTGAGAATTTTTCTCAACTTTTCCCATTTTCTTCATACTTCATACCCATTTATTAATCCATTTTCAAAACTATTTGTTAAATTAATCTCTCTTTCCCTGCATCTGCTGCCCAAGTTAAACCAGTATCACCTTTTACCTGGGCAACTGCTGTACTTTTATTTTTCCCTATCCCTACGGTGAATTCATCCCACAGAGCAACCAACCAGCTCTCACGTCCTTCTCAGAATCCTTCAGTTGCTTTCTATTGCCTCCCTCCCAATCTCATTTTGTCTTGGTCTCTCCTTATTTTCTGGGCATTGAACTTTTCCTGTCATAATTCGATTAACTAAAAAAAAAGTCCATATGTAAATCTTTGGAGGAATTCCTAACAATGATGGCAGGATAAATCCCTCAAAATGGAACAACTGGGTCAAAAGCTCTTAAAGCACTATATATACAGTCTTGGACTTTGAAGTCAACCAGACATTGATACAAATGTCTACTACCCACCCTCTCTGTGACTTTGGGGAAGTTATGTGTCCTGGATCTTTCTTTAACATCTTAGCCTGCAGCGTGGGAGAAGAATATTCAGAAGAATACTTAAAATATTAAGTGATACAGTATTCCAACTTTAACACTTTTTAGCTCTGTAATCTTGAACAAATCAAATAACATCTGTGTTTTTCTGATTCCCTGTAGGTAAAATGGGAACAAGGGGATGACTGCCTACCTCTTAGGATAGCTAGGAGGTTTAAATGGATCCACGTGTATCTAGAGCACACAGAACAGCACTTGACACATGGATTGCATTGTATAAATGTTAGCTATCAGATGTTTTTAATGGGTGTAGCACAATGTTTAACATATGGTAATTTCTCTACAAAGGATAGTTATTTGTATGCCGCCAAATACTTGCCAAAAAGGCTATACAAAATAAACTCCCACCAGCAGGCAGAATGCAAGATTGTACATTTCATTTCATCCTCGTTGAAAACTTCGACAGTTAAAAAAGTTTTGCAGGTGCTGTAAACAGGCACCCAGACCAAATAGATATTTTTTAAATTATAAATAACAATATCATTAAAAAAAAAAGTTTTGCAAATTGTCAAACTACATCATAATGGTGTTTTAATCTGGTTTATTTGATTACTAGAGACATTGAGTATTCTTCAGTGTTTACTGGTCATTTGTGTTTTTAGGGCATGCCTAGGAAGTTTCATTGTCAGTCTTTCTATTGGAGGTTTCACATGTTTCTCATTGATTTAAATATTTCTTTATGTGTTAGGAATATTATGTTTGCCTTATGTATTATAAACCCCACATTTATCATTTTTTTCTTTTATTTTGATTTGCATTTTTATGTGCAGATTTAAATAAAAATTCTGTAGTCAACATAATGTTGCTCTGGGAGGAGAGGGTTCTCTGATCTGGGCAAGTTCACTATGAATTCAATGAGACCGAATAAAGACAAGGGGAAGTTCAGAGTTAAGAGGGCCTCATACCATGTTTATTCTCATGACAGTAGCTCAAAAGCCGGAGTCTCATCCGCCTGGTGGTGTACAAGCGACCGGCAGCACCTCAGTCTCTTTCTGGCTCTGGGGCTGCTCCCCCGTGCTCCCCAGCGCAGGGCTCTCTGCTCCCTTCCTGGCCCTGGGGCTCTGCAGCTCTGCCCCCTGCTTCCTCTTCTCTGCTCGGACAGCTGGACAGCTCTCCCCTTCCCAGCCGCAGGCCCCTGGAGAAACTCTGTGGGCGGGTCTGTACGGTGACTGGCGGGCCAACCAATTATCTCCAAGGTGCTCCTGTTTCCTCTCCGCCCCTCCCCTGGGTGGGTACTCCCGTGACTGAGGGGCGGCTCTGTGGGGTGGGGGGGCTGAACAGCCTGCTGTCCAGCAAACATCCTGTCGCCCATGTAAGAGTATGCAAACATGCTCTTTTATGTATACAATGGACAATATTAAAGCCAGGAGAGAATCCTGGTCATGAATTTCCATTTCCTCTACATGTATCATCCTTTAAAAATTTTTGTTAATTTTCTATGTGTAATTTGAAAAAAAAAATAGTTCATACTCTCTATTCAGAGTAGAGTAATATTTGTTTATATTAGATATTGTTTATTTTGGATATGCAATATTGATAATATATAATATAGTTCTCTGAAGTAGTGATTCTAAATTTGAGGTAAATCAAATGTGAAGCTGGGGGCAGAGAGGCTTTTGAAATTATAGTAGCTTCTCCCATGATTATGAAGGATGTCATCCTGGAAGAGAGACCCTGTGAGATGGAAAATCAGTGCAGTATATTACTGGACGTTATAATCAGGTCAAGGTATACGAAGAGAAGGAAATTAGAGAACCACTGACCAGTGTTACTTATTTTTATAAACCCAATGTATAAACAACTAATTAGAAAAGTCTCAACTACTGATGTTAATTATTGTCAATATGCAATTATTATCCATATGCAACAATTGTCAGTGCAAATGCACAGAAAACCTTGTTTGTGTCTTTCCTCTTAATACCTTTATATTCATTATTTATATTTTAGCCTTCAAAGTCACATTTTAGGTCAATTTATGTAAATAGAAATCTAGTTTGATTTAGTTTTATATTAAACTTGAAGTCCTTTATCTTTTAGTATGGGAGTTTAATTCATTCACATTTGTTTTACAATTTGTGTAATTTCTCTGATTTCTGCCACCATATATCATGCTTTCCAGTTTTGCTATTATTGTTTATTAATCCTTTTTTTCTGCTATTCTTTGTTCTTGCCTGTTAAAGACTATGAATTCTTTAACAGTTTTCTCCTCAAGGGTTTTTAAAATGTATCTGCAGTTCACCATTGTGAAATGAATAGATAAGGACATATGTAGAAGGTAATCTTAATGATTGTGGAGAACTCTGGTGTTGCCAGGTGGATTTTTATTGTGCGGAATCAGGATATTGGAAGGAAGGTGAATTGAGAGGCACCAACCCTAGGTTAAATAATTGTCAACATCAGAGGATGTCACAGAAAATAAAAAAACAAATAATAGAAAATGAAAGGGAAGGGCTGTGAAAGTAGAGCTAGAAAGCTAGCTTTGGTGGAGATATTAGGGGTATATGGATTCATTGGTGGCAGCTGCTTTGCCATTTGGTTGAGAAAACAAGGTACTGAGAGAGAGAGAACAATAGATATTGTAGCTCATGAGCAGTTTTGCTATTTATCTTGAAAATAATTACCCTTTTTTAGCATTTCTGCGGTGGCTTTTGTTGAGATTTTAATGTTCAGTTTTGGTTGTTAGAGTGGTAATTATTAAATGAAACAATACTAATACTGATGCACAAGACAGTTTAACTTTATTTGTTCATAGAGTTCTTTACCAATTAAGTTTTCAGAAAATGTGTTGCTGTCTTTTCATTAATTTTTTCTCTTATGTAGCAAGCTCTTACTCTACAGATCTAGGTCTTTGGCTTAGGAAGTTTGCTGTTGTATATATTATCATTACTTCAAGTAAAAAATAGCAGTTTTCAATACTGCATATTTCTTTGTAGTTTGTTCCTTGTATTTTAGCTGTCCAGGACACAGCTTATAG